CTAAATTAACACAGTAATTATATCCAGTTATTGTAATACTGTACCACTTTTTGCTGTACCACATGTACTCTAGATAAATTAAAGTTTAGGCACATAGTTTATAACAATCATCAGATGAACAGTTGTCAAAACGTTGTCAAAGGCTGGTTTGTGTCATTCAACCATTTTTAAAACCTGAGTCTGTATCTAAACTGGATGTCTCTGGTTGGATGCATGGACCCAAAGCCCCAGCGCTTGACGTCAATATCAGGGATCTTTTCATCTGGGTTCTTGAGCTCAAAGTCAAAGTATGTGAGCATGAGAAAGACAAACTGCTTCAGCTCATTGGTGGCGAAAAAGCGTCCTGGGCACATGGTGTTCCCAGCACCCCACGGCATGTTGTAGTACTTCAGTTTTTTCCCACCTTTGTAAAAGTCCGTCTTTTTGTCCCCCTCTGCAGTCAGGAAGCGGTCATACTTATAGGTGAGTGGGTCAGGGTGGACTTCCGGGTCTATCTGGACGGCAGTGTAAGGAAACAGGGCCACTCTGTCTCCTTCTCTAATGCGGTACTCGTTTCCGTTGGCCATCTTTAGGGACATGTCCTGGAGCACGGCCCTGGTGAGGACGGGGGCGGAGGTGAGGCGGAGGGTCTCCTCCACAGCGCTGTCCAGGATGGGCGTCTTTTGCAGCATGTCCCGGGTCAGGTTGATGAGGGGGCCTTCGTGCTTCACCTCCTGGCCCGTCTCCTTCAGCACCTCCTCCACCTCCCCCCGCACAGCCCTCATGGCGTCTGGGTGCTTCATGAGGTAGAAGAGCAGCCAGAAGGCAGCAGGGCCTGTGTTGCCCTGTGAGGCCCAAAGGAGAAGAAACATGTACCTGTCCTGCATGAAGTCCTCCATGCCGTGCTCCTCCCTCTCCTGCTGCTGCTCACTCACCCAGATGCTGATGTTCTCCTTGGTCCTCACCTTCTGCACCGACAGCATGTTCCAGAACAGCCTCTTTAGCCTCTCAGCCTCTCTCTTCTCCCCTGGAGGCAGGACCCCATAGGCCAGATTGGGGAAGAGCTGGTCGTACTTACGGAACTCACGGAAGAGCTCTTCGGACTCCACTCTGTCGACCTCTCTGGCTTTCTCCACGCTCCCTGTGGATTTGGGTGTCTCATTACCGAACAGAGCCAGGTAACCTGCCCTGAAGACAATGTTGTAGCTGTAGTTGAACAGACCGTCCTCATTCCAGGTCTTATGGTTATTATCCCCTGTCCCTACACTGTGCAGCATCAGATTCTGTAGGTTGCTCATCATGGCCTGTGTCATGACCACTAAACCGTCCCCCATCAGGTGCTTGTTGCTGGACATCTGAGGAAACCTGTGGTCAGAGTGATAACCGAACACTTTCTGCACCAGCTGCTGTGCAAACTTGCTGAAGTCCAGATTGGTGCGGGCCTCCTTCACAACCGTCCCGAAGGACCGAGGGTCCATGAGGAATGTGAAGTAGAATCCTCCCAGCTGCACGGTGAAAATATCCCCATACTTCCCCTTCATTCTCTCCAGGAACTTTGCTGTGTCCCTGCGGAACTCTAGGACATGGCCCAGCCAGGGGATGGGGCCCCGGTCCAGGGGAGGCTCCCCGGGTCGACGCTGCCTGACAGCCCCCAGGAGGTAGAAGCCGCCCAGGACAGAGGCTATCAGAGAAAGAACGATCAGCAGCAGAAAGGCCATGGTCCTTACCTCTTTGTTCTCACACAGAAAATCTGGGCCCCGGCTAGAATTCGTTTTTTTTATTGAGTACATGGACAGATCAAACCATGACATAATGAAACTACGACATGCTTGTCAGCAGTTAATGACTAACTAGATTGCACAAAAACTAGATCCAACCACAAATGGTACAGAACAGTCTTTGCTGTTTCCAGTTCGATCAAATGTCAATACGTATGAAGGTCAGTACAATTCAAAGAATGAATTGCATATTACAGGAAGTGCTAAATATTTTGTAATTTACAGTCAGTATGTTTCATAATCCCTGTCTTACCTACAGTATTTGAAATATAGGAGTGATAGTACACATGTCTTAAATGGTTAAAACACTTTTACAGTGATAAAAGTAAAAATATAGTATGTTCTTTTTTTCTCTCAACAATGTTAGGCCTAGCTGTTTATGTGGTTCAGCTGTAAAGGTGCTCCCAAATGCACTCTCTACATGGACTACCCCCCCCGAGTAGTCCATGTAGAGAGTGCATTTGGGAGCACCTTTAGTAACCTCAGACTGATTTTAAAAAGAGACAGAATCTAGATAAGCACAGGCAACATCCTAGAAGAAAACCTGGTTCAGTCTGCTTTCCAACAAACACTGGAATATGAATTCACCTTTCAGCAGAACAATAACCCTAAAGCTCAAGGCCAAATCTACACTAGAGTTGCTTACCAAGATGACATTGAATGTTTCTGAGTGGCCTAGTTACAGTTTTGACTTAAATCTGCTTGAAAATATATGGCAAGACTTGAACATGTCTGTCTAGCAATGATCAACAACCAACTTGAAAGAGCTTTAAGCATTTTTTAAATGTATTAATCACATGAAATAAATAATAATCTTCCAAAATGACTTTGTCAAAGCAACAAAATAACTAGGGCTTCACAATGATGTTTTATTATTCATTAGTAAAAAAAAATGTTTTTAAAAAGTCTTCCATTTTGACATTACAGAGTATGTTTTGTAGATTGTTGACAAAAAAATTACAATTAAATGAATATTAACCCCACTTCGTAACACAACAAAATGTGGAAAAAGTCAAGGGTTGTGAATACTTTCTTAAGGCACTGGGTCGTTCCACGAAAAGTTCTTTTGCATCCCTTTGATATGTTAAGTAGAAATTGTTCACCAATATTGCATTTTAAAATCCAGTTATATTAAATGAAGTGCCCTTTAATATAGACCACATTGAGAATTCAATAAATCTGAGTTTTAATATGATAAAGACTTGCTAAAGTGCCAAAATTCAGCATTTGGAGATGTCCCTCCGTGCACCCTCTGTGACTTCTAGGAAGATTTTGACCTACTCAACCCCCAAAACTTTGTTTTCACCATCATTTTAAATCCCTAGTTATTTTGTTGCATTGACAAAGTAATTTCGGAAGATTATTATTTATTTCATTTGATTAGTAAATAATGAACGTCTTTCCCTCATTTTAAGGTCAACCCTGTTACATGAAATGAACTCTCTATTTAACATGGTGAAACTGTTCCTTTAAAATATTTATTTCTAAAGAAACATTGAATAGTCAAATAGTAGTGTAAAAGCTGGTGAGCTGGTTCTACTCTTTTTGGGCAATTTTCTGGTGTTTCGTGGTGGAAACTGAGTGGGTCAAGCATAACATGTCAACCCTGTTACCCATAGATTAACCTAACATAGCAGGCGTAAAAATAAACGTTCTTTCTGGTCCTGATGAGAAAAAAATAATGTTGGGGGAGGTGCACTGTTGAACCAATCCAGTAAATGTGGAGGAGGAGTGTCACCTTGTTAACGTCCAAAAGCTGAAGTCGCGTCACAGGCTCTCTTTCCATTTCCCCTGAAAACCAGATGCATGAGGTTGTTGCCGACCAGCAGAGAGTGCCCATAGACAGGCAAAAAAAAAGTTTTAAGGCCCAGTGTTCTATATTTCCACACTATGAGGTTGGAAAAAGACCCGATACCTGAATTTTGGTTACAGGGTCTAAAAATGCAGGCTTCATGACTAGGTCTCGAGGTGGGATTTAATATACCATGTTTTCATACCCCCTACCGCTTTCAGATATACAAAAAAGCAGGTAAAAAAAGGTGGGATGGTTAAAAAAAAATGGGATTTTTGTCTGTGTATGAAAGGAATATAACACTTATACCACAATCAAGCAATAAGCATATTTTATTACATTTGACAGGAGGAAAAACACAAAGATTCAATGCTTGACATTACAATGTTATAAAAACAGCAATGATTCATATATTGCAACTTTTTGGCACAATCATAGGCAGTCATAATTTATAACATTCCCAGACGGCATGGATCATTGAGTCATTGTTCGTTTTAGAGTTAATGCATGACTCTGCCATTGTGCTGTAGAATTTGTGAATTTTGTCTCTTGTATAATGCATTCTATACATTTGTATATACTAGATTAAGCGTACATTTCCGTTAACAGTAATTTCGTTAGCTATGTTCCAACATTCCCTCCGTCTTGTGCCAACATCAGTTCTTTTTATGTCTTGGTTCCAATAGTTAATTTTTTTCTAAGAGATTGTCAGTTGGATAGGCTCTCTGCAAGGTTTTGTATATCTTACCTATCATATGAACATCCTTTTCTGACTCAAATAGGATTCCCTCAAGATTGCTCTGATGTCCAAAAGATTTCAAATCGAAATTTTGTGATATAAAACTTTGAAGTTGCATGTATTTGAAAATATCTACATTGGTCAATCCAAAATTGCTTTTTAATACTGTAATGGAAATAAATGTATTTCCTATTACCAAGTCATTTACGGTTTCTATGCCTTTAGTTTTCCATGTCGACCAATTTATCTGTGAATTCTGAAAAGCTACCAAGGAATTTTCCCATAGGGTTGTGTTTTTAGGGAGTGATATTGTTTCTTGTACAATACGTCTCCTACATGGAGTTTGTTTTGAACATGTGTGTGTGTTTCTAATGCTATCTACAAATCATTTCCTACTACTCATCATTCAAAATATTTGTTTCTGTCCAGGTCAGCTTTCATTTTAAAATGTCAAATTTCCAGCTGATTCTAAGCATAAACATTCCAGACATTTTCAAAGAGGAAAAGTAGATAATTTTTATTCTCTGAATAAACAAAACAATTATATCCAGTTATTTTAATACTGTAACATTTTTTGATGTACTATGTACTCTAGACACATTTATGTTTAGGCACAAGCTAGTTTATAATAATCAAAGTCAGATTAACAGCTCGTGAGATGGTAGTTTAAAGTCAAAGCATTGTCAAAGGCTGGTTTGTCAGTCACTCAGTTTTAAAACCTAAGTCTGTATCTAAATTGGATGTCTCTGGTTGGTTGCATGGACCCAAAGCCCCAACGCTTGATGTCAATATCAGGTATATTTTCATCTGGGTTCTTGAGCTCAAAGTCAAAGTATGTGAGCATGAGAAAGACAAACTGCTTCAGTTCGTTGGTGGCGAAGAAGCGTCCTGGGCACATGGTGATCCCAGCACCCCACGGCATGTTGTAGTACTTCAGTTTTTCCCCACCTTTGTAAAAGGCTGTCTTTTTGCCCCCCTCTGCGGTCAGGAAGCGGTCATACTTATAGGTGAGTGGGTCAGGGTGGACTTCCGGGTCTATCTGGACGGCAGTGTAAGGAAACAGGGCCACTCTGTCTCCTTCTCTGATGCGGTACTCATTTCCGTTGGACATCTTGAGGGACATGTCCTGGAGCACGGCCCTGGTGAGGATGGGGGCGGAGGTGAGGCGGAGGGTCTCCTCCACAGCGCTGTCCAGGATGGGCGTCTTCAGCAGCATGTCCCGGGTCAGGTCGATGAGGGGGCCTTCATGCTTCACTTCCTGGCCTGTCTCCTTCAGCACCTTCTCCACCTCCCTCTTCACAGCCCTCATGGCATCTGGGTGCTTCATGAGGTAGAGGAGGAGCCAGAAGGCAGCAGGGCCTGTGTTGCCCTGTGATGCCCAGAGGAGAAGAAACATGTACCTGTCTTGCATGAAGTCCTCCATGCCGTGCTCCTCCCTCTCCTGCTGCTGCTCACTCACCCAGATACTGATGTTCTCCTTGGTCCTCACCTTCTGCACTGACAGCATGTTCCAGAACAGCCTCTTTAGCCTCTCAGCCTCTCTCTTCTCCCCTGGAGGCAGGACCCCATAAGCCAAATTGGGGAAGAGCTGGTCGTACTTACGGAACTCACGGAAGAGCTCTTCGGACTCTACTCTGTCGACCTCTATGGCTTTCTCCACACTCCCTGTGGATTTGGGTGTCTCATTACCGAACAGAGCCAGGTAACCTGCCCTGAACACAATGTTGTAGCTGTAGTTGAACAGACCGTCCTCATTCCAGGTCTTATGATTATTATCCCCTGTCCCTACACTGTGCAGCATCAGATTCTGTAGGTTGCTCATCATGGCCTGTGTCATAACCACTAAACCGTCCCCCATCAGGTGCTTGTTGCTGGACATCTGCGGAAACTTGTGGTCAGAGTGATAACCGAACACTTTCTGAACCAGCTGCTGTGCAAACTTGCTGAAGTCCAGTTTGGTGCGGGCCTCCTTCACAACCGTCCCGAAGGACCGAGGGTCCATGAGGAATGTGAAATAGAATCCTCCCAGCTGCACGGTGAAAATATCCCCATACTTCCCCTTCATCCTCTCCAGAAACTTCGCTGTATCCCTGCGGAACTCAAGGACGTGGCCCAGCCAGGGGATGGGGCCCCGGTCCAAAGGGGGTTCCCCGGGTCGACGCCACCTGAAGGCCCCCAGGAGGTAGAGTCCCCCCAGGACAGAGGCTAGCAGAGCCAGAAGGATTGGCAGCAGAAAGCCCATTGTCCTTTCCTCTTTGTTCTCACAAAGCACATCTGCTCCCCGGCTGAAATTTATTTTGTGTTTACGTTACCCATGACTCATACTCCTCCCCCTCCCCTATCACAGTGAGAGTGCCATTAGTATTCTAAGCACTAAGCACTTTTATAGACTCAGTAAGGATGTAAGTATTGTCTAGTTTTTTTGACATTTATTTGACACACGTTCCCATGAAACTTGTCTAGAACATTAATATCTTATATTGTATGTTTGGTGTGACGTTGATGGAATATTCTCCTAACCCTCTGAAAACAGGACACAGGAATGTTCTTGCAACGTTCCCATGAAACGTATCTAGAACATTAATATCAAGGAAAAGCATTGTTTATACATAGCTCTGCCTGATGCATATTTATTTAGATGGCTCATGGCCAGGACCATACTGGTTTCAGTTAGGAGCCTACAGAGAGATTAAATGGTAGTAAAAACTTAATAGATCACATGTGTAGAGAGAACCTCTCTCAGATTTGTAATAGTGTTGCATTTTGGGCATTTATGCTGTATCATACCATAAAGAGCAGTGGAGCCAGCCCCGAAACAAGATAATTGAGAAGAGAGGTAAGACTGAAGAAGACATGCACATGTAAATATTTCCAGTGGAGCATACCCAAGATATACCCAAGTCCTCCTGAATTCTTAATGAGACATGAGTGCAAAAACAAAACAATAACCCTAAAATGGTCATGCCATCTATTTGCAACCATCTACAGCCTTTGATGAGATCTGATGATTTTATGGACAGAGGCATACAACTATAATGGCCATGCTCCTTTAAACAATCCATCATTCAAATACTGTTGTTGTTTCTATGTTTCTCCGTTGTGACTAAAGTGACTTTTCGTAGCAGGTTAGGAGAGCATTTTCGTTAACCCTAACCCTTTTCCTAACCTTAACCTAATTCTCCTAACCTACTATGTTAATTCTCCTAACCTGCTATGAAAAAGTAACTTCCAGTCGTAGCTGTATACTACCTAGTCAGAACCATGTTTCTCAACCTCTGACTTTTGTAACATCCAGACCTTGTTGTGTAGGCTACAGTTCTCTACATCTGTTGTTGTTTTACTCTCCCTTTGTATTCGCTTTCGTTAAAGACCTTGTTCCCCTACAACGTTCCAAAGAAACCCACAGACATACAGAGCGATGTGTAACTTGAGTCACTGACAACACACACCGGCATCTCTATCTGGGATTAGTGTAGAGCAGGGGTCGGCAACTAACCCCCCCCCCCCCCCTCCTAAAATCACCAGGAATTCAGCAAAACAATTTTTTTCTGCTTCCACCTTTGGTCTCAGGGAGTATGGAACAGATCTGGCTTCGCAGAATTGTGGGTTTACATCTTCTCTCAGTACGAACTTGGCTGTGAATCCTTTGACCGTTCCCATCTGATCACGGAAAACTGTCATATTTCTTCAGCAAGTGTTTCAGTGTTTGGTCTGTGCCTTTCTCTTTAAGCTGGGAAATTGTAATTATACATTTTCAAGTCACACCAGTTACATTTTATTTTGGACAGCCATTCCCTGACAAATAATGGGGGAATAGTTCCAGGCACCACATACTGCTGCTGTTTTCGCTCTCCATATATCACTCTGACCTGCAAAACAACCATTGGGCTCAATCTCTCTCCTGAGTATGTCTTCAGCAACACATTTGTTTTCTTCGGCTGGATAGCCTTGAAGTGGTCATTGTACAGTTGTGAAAATTATAGAGCTCCATTTTGAGAGGTGTGCTTCTGTTTTCTGGCCTCACCCATATTATGCTACTGCTGGGAGAAGTCACTGGCCGTGTCCGAATACCCATACTTGCGTAATAAATAGTAGGCCATTTGAGTATGCGAAAACATTATGTTTAAACATAATGGTCCTCTGTAGCTCAACTGGTAGAGCACGGCGCTTGAAACGCCAAGGTAGTGGGTTCGAGCCCCGGGACCACCCATACACAAAAATGTATGCATGCATGACTGTAAGTCGCTTTGGATAAAAGCGTCTGCTAAATGGCATATTATATTATTATATTATTATATTATTATTATTATATTATATTATATTATTTTATTATTATTTAATAGTATGCATCATTTAGAAAATCAAGTATACTTTAAATGCCCAGATGTCATACTCATTTCGGCACACTTTTCCACAATGCATTGGAAGAGGTGGACTTCGAGTGATAGGCCCTAGATCTCTTCAAGTAGCCAAACAACAAAACTAAGGCTACTTAATTGGGAAGATTCCAGAAGCGTCTGCGGTGGTGTTCAAATGTAGAATAAGTAGATTTTGTTCTCCTTAAAATTATCACGGGTATTGCGTCGGGTATTGCATCTTTGAAAACATAAATATTTTTATTTTATTTAATCCAAAGTGGATTTCTGTTTTCTCACAGAAAATTGTTTCTTGTTTTGTTGGCCTTCGTCAGAGCTTTCACTAAACCATCTTATGATTTCTGAATGTGTCGGCACCAGGGACTAGGGATGTGGCTGCGTTATTGATGTCATGTTAAACAGGCCTTTTGATTTGAACATATGGATTGTTTTAATTTTGTACGCTAGGCTACCTATTTAATTATTTAATTTATGGATCAAGACATAGCAGTCATTTTGATCTCGTTCCCAATGTTCAGTGCTTTAGTTTATTATGTTGATGTCCAGCTGTTCTGAATTTGCGATGGTCCCGACTGTCAACGTTTTTCTGTGCAATAGCCTTTCGATTTGAACATTTGAAAAGTTTTGGTGTGTGTACTAGGCTATTTGATTTAATTTCTATATGTTACAACACTTTGGTTTCACTAATAAACATGTTGAAATGGAACCAAATGATGTTCCTGTCTTCAGTCCTTTTTAAATAGGATAGATGGGTTATATGGTCTAGTACGTTATAGGTTGAATGTGATAGTCTGCCTATAAACAGCCAGAGTAGGCCTATAACTCTGTTCCTATTCTATTCAGCATTTAGAGAAATTAATCAAATTGGAAATTAGCTATTATAAGGCTGATTAATGCGATGCATGTCTGTTGAATTTGTCAAAATCCACCCGCACTCTGCCCCGCCCCACCTACTCAGCCAATCAGGAGCCGCTACTGCGTTGCGGCTGCGGCATACTGCATACCTTTTACTAAACGGTGCGTGGCAAATAGTATGCGACGAGGAGTAAATAGTATACAGTTTAAGTATGTAGTACTCTAGTATGGGTATTCGGACATGTTCATCTGACTCACAACCACTGTTTTCTAGTGCATTCAAAGACCCATTCATTTTTTCAGTTTTCCTGTTCGGACTGTATTTTGCTCTTCATGCTCTTTGAATGTGCCCCCTTTAATTGCATTTTTGGCAAATTTCGTCTTGAAATTACAGTCCTCTGCTTTGTGACAGGATTGTGGAATCTCTGTCACACCTGCATTTTTCAGCCTGTTCTGTTATCATTATATGTAGCTGAATATAATTCGACAGGCAGCTAAACACCTAGCCATTATCAAACCTCTGGAGACAGGATTTCCTTTTATCTTCAGTTTATTGAGTCAGGAAAGGGTGAAACTAAAGAAAAGGAGACAATCACCAAAATTGTCATGTAGGTTTTGTTTAGAAGTAACCTCCAATAGTATGATATTAAGCCTTAACAAATGACAGCTAAATACAGCTACAACCAAAGTTCCTCAATGTATATTTAACACAAAACTAGCATAGACTTACATAAGAAAACAACATGAAAGTACAGTATGTAGATTCAACATGTAAACCAACAGTGCCAAGGCTAAGTGTAAGAATGGCGCCGGAGAAGATGGCTGCCGTTTTACTGCCCTCTAACCAATTGTACTATTATGTGTGTTTTTTCACGTTATTTGTAATTTATTATGTACATTATGTTTCTGCCACTGTCTCTTATGACCAAAAAGAGCTTCTGGATATCAGGACAGCGATTACTCACCTCGTATTGGACAAATATTTTTTTATTCAACGAGTCGGACGCGAAGGATATCCTACAGACACCCGACAAGGCCCAAATCCCCGTCATTCGCATGAGAAAGAGACGGAGACATCGTGGATGTAGGTCGGGGTGCCTTGTAAGGATCCGACGGCGAGCGAGTAAACTGCCTCTTCATTTAATCCTATTAGCCAATGTTCAATCATTTGAAAATAAATTGGATGACCTATGATTAAGGTTATCCTACCAACGGGACATTAAAAACTGTAATATCTTATGTTTCACCGAGTCGTGGCTGAACGACGACATGGATAACATACAGCTGGCGGGATATACGCTACATCGGCAGGATAGAGCGGCTGACTCCGGTAAGACAAGGGGTGGCGGTCTGTGTATATTTGTAAACAACAGCTGGTGCATACAATCTAATACTAAGGAAGTCTCTAGGTTTTGCTCGCCTGAGGTAGAGCATCTCATGATAAGCTGTAGACCACACTATTTACCAATATCATTTTCATCTATATTTTTGTAGCTGTCTATTTACCACCACAAACCGATGCTGGCACTAAGATTGCTCTCAATGAGCTGTATAAGGCCATAAGTTAACAGGAAAACGCTTATCCAGAGGCAGCGCTCCTAGTGACCGGGGACTTTAATACAGGGAAACTTAAATCCGTTTTACCTAATTTATACCAGCATGTTAAATGTGCAACCAGAGGAAAATAAACTCTAGACCACCTTTACTCCACACACAGAGATGCGTACAAAGCTCTCCCTCGCCCTCCATTTGGATAATCTTACAATAACATTTATATTTACATTTTAGTCATTTACCAGACGCTCTTATCCAGAGCGACTTACAGTTAGTGAGTGCATACATGTTTATTTTTTTTTCATACTGGTCCCCCGTGGGAAACGAACCCACAACCCTGGCGTTGCAAACACCATGCTCTACCAACTGAGCTACACAGGACTAATCACAGCACCACTTGTCCATAGATCCTATGGGTCCTATACAGCACCGCTAGCCCATATATCCTATGGGTCCT